CTAAACTGAACTTTTGGTCTCACTCGCCAAATCTGTCTCTCCATCACTAGTCTTCCCCATCTTAATAATCTACTGTGCTTGTTCAATCCAGTAATGTAGGCATAATCTTCCTCTTTCCTTCACCTCCCACATGTCTCTGGTGAGCCCACCAATGACTCCATCTCCACAGTTACCACGATATTCCAAACCATCATCCTCTCTCCCTATACTACACCATAGCTTCCTGACAGGTCTCTCTGCTTCTACTGGTGCCCAACTCGTCCATTCACACCCCAGCTAAAGTGATGTTATCAAAATTTAGATTATGTCACTCTCCTACATCACCCCTTTATTTGTGACCCATTTTATGTAGAGTAACATCCAAATTGTCCCATAGCCTACAAGACCTGGACCCTGCCTACCTCTCCATCTGCTGCTATATTTACCTCTTTTTTTTTTCACCACCATTCAGTCACACACTGGCCTTTCAGTTGCTAGAATATATAACAAGCTCTTCCCATCCAGAAATCCTGGGTATACACTGTTTCCTTTGCCCAAACACTCATCTTCAGGTTCCCACAGGGCTGGCCCCCTCTCCTCCTTTAGGTCTCAGCTGTGCCATAATTTCACATAAGAGGGAAATGGGGCAGCAATCTGGTTAGAGCTACGAAAGAGGAGTACCTAGGGGACTTGTCTCAAAGCTGCATTTGCATAGCAAACACACTGTCTTTACTTAGATTAAGTATAAATCAATAAAAAATGTCAATGTTTTCTTAAAATGCTTTTATTCATACTTTATGTAAGATTAAGAGAGCATCATCTGCCCATAAAAATATAATTTGAATTGGCTTGGGGGAAGGAGCAAGCAGTTCCAAATAGTTGAAGAAGTAGACAGGACTAAAGAGTTTTTTCATTTTATCTTGAAAGGGATGAGGGTCTATTTGCATTGTTTAAGTAGGGGCATGACATGGTCCAACTTATGTGACTAGATGAGGAGAGACTAATGACTGAAAAGCCAGTAAAACAATTGTGCTGTACTGTGCTTAGTCACTCAGTCATGTCCAGCTCTTTGTGACCCCATGGACTGTAGCCTGCCGGGCTCCTCTGTCCATGGAGATTCTCCAGGCAAGAATACTGTAGTGGGTTGCCATGCCCTCCTCCAGGGTATCTTCCCAACCCAGGGATTGAACCCAGGTCTCAGACATTGCAGGAAGTTTCATTACCATCTGAGCCACCAAAAAATTAATTATTAGAGTTAATATTTATCAAGCATTTTAATGTGACAGGTACTATTCTAAGGGCTTGCCATTTATTCCAGTGCTTTATGTATACTAATTCACTTAGTCCTCACAAATATCCAATGTATTATTAGAATTCTCACTTTAAAGATGAGGAAACAAAGGCTTAGAGAGATGACTTACTCAAGAATTACAAAATTAGCAAGCGGCAGAGATAAGATTCAAACACAGAGTCTAGTTCAAAACCCATGCTCTTCATCAGTGTGATTTAAGCTCCCCTTCTCTACAACAGATTACAGCAATACCACAGGCTTGAAATTGCAAGGGTCTGACACAATGGCAATGTCTAGATTTCCAATGGTAGAAAGGTGGTGAGCTGCATGAGAGAGATTTAGGAAGTAGAACTGGCAATGCAAGGGAATCACTGTAAATCATCAGGGAGAGAGGAATCTAAGGTGACTCAGTTTCAGACTTGCCTAACTGGATAGTTGATGGTGCCAGTCATAGAGATGGGAAATACAAAATTCTGATAGAAAAGAGAGAAACCACCAAATACTTTACAGTTGATGTGCCTGAGGAACAAAAATAATTGCCATATTGCAATCTAAGATACTAGTCTGGAGTTCAAGAAAGAGATCTGGGCTAGAAATGTAGATTTTTGAAGTCATGATACAAGTGCTGATACAAGTCCTGATATGAAGCATCACTACGAACAAAGCTAGTGGAGGTGATGGAATTCCAGTTGAGCTATTTCAAATCCTAAAAGATGATGTTGTTAAAGTGCTATACTCAATATGCCAGCAAATTTGGAAAACTCAGCAGTGGCCACAGAACTGGAAAAGGTCAGTTTTCACTCCAATCCCAAAGAAAAACAATGCCAAAGAAAGTTCAAACTACCACACAATTGCACTCATCTCACACACTAGCAAAGTAATGCTCAAAATTCTCCAAGCTAGACTTCAACAGCATGTGAACTGAGAACTTCCAGATGTTCAAGCTGGATTTAGAAAAGGCAGAGGAATCAGAGATCAAATTGCCAACATCTGCTTGATCATAGAAAAAGCAAGAGAATTCCAGAAAAACATCTTCTTCTGCTTCATTGACTACACTAAAGCCTTTGACTGTGTGGATCACAACAAACTGTGGAAAATACTTAAAGAGATGGGAATACCAGACCACCTTACCTGCCTCCTGAGATGCAGGAGATCAAGAAGCAACAGTTAGAACTGGACATGGAACAATGGACTAGTTCCAAATTGGGAAAGGAGTACTTCAAGGCGGTATATTGTCATCCTGCTTATTTAACCTAGATGCAGAGTACATCATGCGAAATGCCGGACTGGATGAAGCACAAGCTGGAATCAAGATTGCAGGGAGAAATATCAATAATCTCAGACAAGCAGATGATACCACCATTATGGCAGAAAACAAAGAGGAACTAAAGAGCCTCTTGATGAAAGTAAAAGAGGAGAGTGAAAAAGCCAGTTTAAAACTCAACATTCAAAAAATTAAGATCATGGCATCCGGTCCCATCACTTCATGGCAAATAAATGGGAAACAAAGGAAACAGTGACAGACTATTTTCTTGGGCTCCAAAATCACTGCAGATGGTGACTACAGCCATAAAATTAAAAGATGCTTGCTCCTTGGAAGAACTGAAAGTCACTCAGTCGTGTCCGACTTTGCGACCCCATGGACTGTAGTCCACGGAATTCTCCAGGCCAGAATACTGGAGTGGGTAGTCTTTCCCTTTTCCAGGTCCATGGAAGAAATGCTATGACAAATCTAGACAGCATATTAAAAAGCAGAAACATTACTTTACCGACAAAGGTCCGTCTAGTCAAAGCTATTGTTTTTCCCAGTAGTCATGTATGCATGTGAGAGTTGAACCATAAAGAAAGCTGAGTGCCAAAGAATTGATGCTTTTGAACTGTGGTGTTGGAGAAGACTCTTGAGAGTCCCTTGGACAGCAAGGAGATCAAACAAGTCAATCCTAAAGGAAATCAGTCCTGAACATTCACTGAAGCACTGATGCCGAAGTTGAAACTCCAATACTTTGACCACTGGAAAAGACCCTGATGCTGGGAAAGATTGAAGGCAGGAAGACAAGGGGACAACAGAGAATGAGATGGTTGGATTGCATCACCGACCTGATAGACATGAGTTTGAGCAAGCCCTGGGAGTTGGTGGACAGGGAAGCCTGTCCTGCTGCAGTCCATGGGGCCACAAAGAGTCAGATACGACAGAGGGACTGAACTGATACAAGTGTTAAAGACTTAAGAAGAGCACATGGTATAAAAAAAGAACACTGAGTACAGAACCTAAGGAACATCATCATTTAGGGAGTTTGTACATAAAAGATATCCAGCAGAGAAGACGTTGGGAAATGGTCATAAAGCTAAGATACCAGGAGAGTGGAGTCGTGGGAGCCCAGGATGGAGTTGCAACCATGACAAAATTGTCTTTAACCCCAGAAGAAAGTAGGTTGTATAAGGCCATGGAACATGTCTGTTTTATTCACCAGTGTATTGCCAGTGCCAAGGGGCCTAGCATACAGTAGTTGCTCAAAAACATTCCCTGAATATCACTAAGAACACAAACCAACAACATCTAATACCACAGACTTCTGGGAAGGCAAAGACCAAGAAGTATCCCTTTTATTTAGTAACAAGATGATCTTGTCCAGAGTAGGTTCAGCGGAATGGTGGGGTGAAAACAAAATGGGAGAAGCTTCGAAAAATAAGTGTATTTTTCCGTGTATTACTTTTCTGCTTTTAATTAAAGAAAATTTCTTAAAGGTTGATGGGAGAGGAGGAAGTTGCAGCCACAGACACAGCCCATTCTTGAACGAAACTTTGTTATGTAGGAAGTAGGAACCCAGAGCTGCAGTTACAAGGGGAAGCGGGGTGATAAAGGACTTTTTTCCTTAAGAGGGCAGGAAACTTGCTTTGTTGTCCACCGGCGGATCGCCAGGGTCTTAGCACAATGCTGGTCACTTCCCCGGCGGTCAATAACGCCTCGAGCTGGCTGGCGGCAGGCTCGCAGGACGCTGTCAATCACCGACAGACGCTGGAGCCTCTCCTTTTGTTTTTTGGGGTTTTTTTTTCCATTTATTTTTATTAGTTGGAGGCTAATTACTTTACATCATTGCAGTGGTTTTTGTCATACATTGAAATGAATTAGCCATGGATTTACATGAATTCCCCATCCTGGTCCCCCCTCCCACCTCCCTCTCCACCCGATCCCTCCGGGTCTTCCCAGTGCACCAGGCCCGAGCACTTGTCTCATGCACCCAACCTGGGCTGATCTGTTTCACCCTAGATAATATACATGTTTCAATGCTGTTCTCTTGACTGATAAGAACAGATACTACACTTGATCTTAGCCAAAAGGCCGAGAAGCGATAGAGCCTCTCCTTTTGGATCAGGCAGGGCCACCAAGGTTCAGCCCGGTCCCCGACAGCGCGGCACCCTCGTGCTAACCTCACCCGCCCGGGCCGCCTGGAAACCCGGGGCCGGGAAGACGGACGCTGACGCGCTGAAGAGCTGAGAGGTGGGTGGGGAGAGCAGAGCTCCACCCGCTGACACGCTTCTTCCTCCAGACTCCCGATTCCCCGCGGGCGCCTCCCGAACTGCTTAGTTCCCTGCACACCTCGGGGCGGGCCGGAAGTGACGCCGCTAGTCGCGCGTGATTGGCGGAAGCCAAAATTGCTTTGCGGCCGGTACGGAAATCGCTTTCTTTTCGACTTCCGCTCCTGGTCCATGTGAGAGACAGGCTGCTGAGATGAGCGCGAACCGGGCTGCGGAGAGGTGAGGGGTAGCGATCGGGGAAGGGGTCTGAGCCTCGCTGGGGGTCGGTTTTCCCGGCTTTTGAGAAACAGAGGCCATCTATTAGCTGGCGACAGTTGTTCCCCTCCCAGGATCTCACCATTCGTTACTATTTCCATGATCCAGCCTTCAAAGCCCTGTTAATTTAATTCGCCCCCTCCGCTCTCCATCTTCTTAGTCTCATCCCTGTTGGTCCTGTTGCGGTTTCTCCCTCTCCAGCTAAGTTAATATGTAGCGCTTTCCTCATCACGTGACTTCTTTTGATGCCGCCGGTGCGGAGCGTTTCCGCCTACTGCGCAGGCAGTGACTTCGTTATAAACTCGCCTTATCTTGGAAACCTTTGTTAATTGGAGTCATCCACGACATTTTAATAAAGTACCTACTTTGCTGAGCAAGCTCCAGCTGCTTTCTTCCAATCCCCCGTTTTCCGATTTCTGAGAACAGGTGATCAAGATGTCACTTTTGAGTAAGCAGCACCTATACAGGTGTCTTCCATGTGGCGGATGCTTAGAAATATTAATAGTGAAGTTGCCTTGCCTCAAGGGCCAGCAACAGCATCTTCTGCCACCTTACCTAGGGTCTGACATTTTTATAGCCTCCAAGAGGCCCGTGGGAAATGCAGTGCTAATCAATCACTGAAGAGTGTTAGATCTTTCCATTTTCATGCAGTTCTGTATGGGTATTACTAACACTGCTCACCTTTTAACAGGTGATGCCTGCCTTCTGCAGTCCAGATTTTATGTCTTGGAAAATTTCCAAAGATGCTCAATACTACTTGGTTTGCACCTCTTCCAGGGGATAAGACTGTTCTGTACTGAGAACTGAAGTTATGTTTTCAAGATCATTTCAATATAAGAAAAATTGCTTCAAGTGATAGTATCTCTTTTTATCTCCTTTAGCAACCTTCTGGCTTTGAACCAACAGAAAGAACTAGAGGATTTGCCAAAAGACTACCCCTTGAGCACCAGTGAAGATGAAGTGAGTGACACCTGCTAAACTGCCTTCTCCAATTTCCCTTCTGTTTCAAAATTAGGGTAGAGGGCACACTTCATGGAAGGAAAAGGGGTGGCAACATTGTACTTGTTCAGGTCTCACAAATAAATTACTGTTACAGGTTTCCAAATTAGAGCATTCCTATGAAACCTAAGCCAAAATGGCATAAAACAAAGAAGTGATTACCTTAGGACATACCTTGCTAATGGAAACACAAAATAAATCAAGATAAAGTGTAGATGCTCACAGACACAGTTAAAGCTATGGCAGCTTGATGCTGAGATGCTAAGTGTAGTTTCTGGGGAGGGGGCTCAGTGGTGCCACTTGGAGTGTGTGTGCCATATGATTTCCCTATTTCCAAGTTTGGATTTCCATAGAGAGTTACTTGATTTTCTGACTGAAGTATACACATGCATAATTAAGCTGGGCAGCTGCTATAGGAATTCCAGCTCTTTATTCTCTTGAGAAAACTACTTAGATTGGCTTTTTTTATGTCAAGGTTCCCATGTCAGATCACACTATATATTCTATACAGAAATATTATTCTCATGGCACTTTTCTTAAAACCAGTTAAGACAGAAGCATGGCATTAGCTCCTGATTACTAAGGCTCTATATTCCTTACAGTGGGGAAATCTGGCTTTTTGAAGAAGTTATTCCTGTTTGAGCTGGAATGCTTGCATGCCAGACCTCATCTGATTTCCCACTTCTCCACTGACCAAAAGAATGGGAGATTTTACATGGGCCTCAATTTTCATACTGTCTTTTCCCTCCCCTCATCATTCTGATGGTTCTTCCTTTTTCTGTTTCCAGGGGGACAATGATGGAGAAAGAAAGCATCAGAAGCTTCTGGAATCAATCAGTTCACTTAATGGAAAGGATAGGTAGCATTCCCTTCAATATGGACATTTCTAACTAGCTGATTCCATGGGACTTATCTGCAGCTAACATTTACTCAGTGCCAAAGACAACATTTTTCATCATCATTGTTAAGAGCATGTACTTTGGAGACTGTAGGCAAATCCTCTGCACTTCAGCTTCTTCAAATAGAAAATAAGATTGACATGTCCCAAAGTCACTAGAATAAGTGGCAGATCGGGTATTCAGATCCAGACATGTTTGAATCCAAGCCCAATACCTTTTTCACCATGCCTACCTTGCATTGCCTTGTGTTTTTGAGAGGATGTTTTCATTAATAGATGGTTAAACTACTGTGTCCAGCTTAGGAAAAGATTTCCTGGCTATTTTGTGACAAAACCTAACTCTAGAATAAACATGAAACCAAAGCATTGTTTGAAGAGAGGTGTTTGTTCCCCAGCAGAATGTATCCATTCTGTATGTATTCTGTTTTGCTTAATTTCAGGCAGAAATTGGCTGAGAGGTCTGAGGCTAGTCTGAAGGTGTCGGAGTTCAGTGTAAGTTCTGAAGGTAAGTTAACAAAGGAAACTGTCTGCATGGACCTTGTGGAATTCCAAAAGCATAATGGTCTACTTTCCCTTGGCGCCCTCTTTCCAGCTATTTTTGATGTGGTTGTGAATCATACCATACACACTTAACCCATGAGTAGATGAAGAAGGGTAATCGGATGCTCTTGAATTTCTTCCATTTCTGAAAGAAAATGAAAAGGCCACAGTCAAGATCTGCCATAGAGCTTGATGAGCTAACTGTATCTAAGTTTTTTTTCTTATGCCCACTCACCTAAGAACCAGTTTTTACCCCTGGGTGGGGAAATGATATCACCCCAATTGAGAATATATGATCTAGTAAATAGCAGAGTTGAGATTTTCACTTGATACTGAGTCTAGGTGCCAAATCTTTCCCACTGTATTCACAACTTAGGCAAGGTGAATGAGTTAGGCACTTCCAGTAATCATTACTGTAACCTTTCAGCACTGGTAACAATGTATTCTCCCAAGCTTACCCATTCTGCAAATACTGTACTTCTACTGTGTGTAAGTTTCAGGATTGGTTTAGCTACAGAGTAAAGAATAAGTGACTTCCTGGGGCTTACATTCTAAGGCAGTGAAACAGTAAGTGAATTATAACAAAATGATACAGTCGGGTGGCAAAGCGGCTACTTTCCTTTGGCTAGGCATGAATGAAATGCCTCTGAAGAGGCAAAACTTAAACCAAGATCTGAATAACAAGAAAAGTCAAGTATGCAGAGAGAGGGAGTAGTGTTCCAGGTGAGGGGGCAGCTGGTACAAAGGCGCTGAGGGAGATAACATGGTCGGCATGTTTGAAGAAGAAGGGCAAGGTCAGTGTGGCTGGACCATCCTCCACTTGCAGATAACTTGAGGTTGGAGAGGCAGACAGGGTGGTGGTTTAGTCACTAAGAGTCGTATCCGACTCCTGTGATCCCATGGATTGTAGCCTTCCAGGCTTCTCTGTCCATGGGATTCTCCAGGCAAGAATACTGGAGTAGTTTGCCATTTCCTTCTCCAGGGATCTTCCCGACCCAGGAATCAAACCTGGGTCCCCTGCATTGCAGGCAGATTCTTTACCCACTGAGCCATGAGAATAATGGGGAGCCATGGGAGGACTTTCTGCAGTATCATGACATCCTGTGGTTTACAGTTTCAAAACACTGGCTGCTGTGTGAAGAATGAATTGCAGTGGGCAAGCGTGGAACCAGAAAGACTAGGAGAAAATCAAATGACTGTTTTAAACAGTCTTCTCTCTTCTACACTTAAACACGTTTGGGGATGTAGGAAAGCAGTGCCATCACTCTGGCTAGTGATGGAAGTAAGAGGGTTCTTCCTGCTTCCCTGCACGCTTGCCTGGCTACCAGCACTTTCTGCTAAGGTGATGCTAAGGTTTTGCCTCACTTCTCAGTCTGACCAGAAAGTTTGGCTTTCTACAGGGTCAGGAGGAAAGCTGGTCGTTTCAGATCTGCTTGAGCCTGTTAAAACTTCATCTTCATTGGCTGCTGTGAAAAAGCAGTTGAATCGAGTGAAATCGAAGAAGACTGTGGAGTTACCACTTCACAGAGAAGAGATTGAGCGGGTAAGTCAAAGAAAATGTGGTCCACTAAGGGGAAGAAACTGACCAAGAAAAAAAGGGCAAGATGAGAAGCGGGGAAGGCCTGAGAAGTGGGAGGGGGGCAAGTTGTGGTTGCCTCACCTTGGAAAAGATTAAAACTAATCTCAGGGCAAGTGCAGTCCTGAGAAGTAAGTAAGAGCTAATCTCTAGCATCCTGATTCTTTCTTGGACTGAGTAACTTGGCCTCCTAATTTCCTGCTGGTTCTTTGGAGTTTAATGATTCATTTTGTGGCTCTTTCTTTCTGTGTGCTTTTGCCTGTTTCAGATCCACAGAGAAGTGGCATTCAATAAAAGCTCCCAAATCCTCTCCAAATGGGATCCTGTCGTTCTGAAGAACCGGCAAGCAGAGCAGCTGGTTTTTCCCCTGAGCAAGCCCCAGTCAGCCTTTGCTCCCATCGAACATGTGGTCAGTGGCTGGAAGGTTAGTGCCCCTTGAAAGGTGAGGTCACACAGCATGGACATTGCAGAGCCTGCAGTTGGTCTTGTTAGACATGTTAAGCAGGAATGGCAGCTGTGGTCATTTTGGTTGAATGATTAGAAAGGGAGGGGGTGGGAGAGCAAGATTCATAGGCAGTAGCTCACCCTTCCTCAGCTTGGCATGCCCCTGCATGGTTGTTGTTGTTCAGTCCCTGAGTTGTGTCTGACTCTGCCACCCCACGGACTGTAGCCCGCCAGGCTCCTCTGTCCATGGGGTTTCCCAAGCAGCAATACTGGAGCAGGTTGCCATTTCCTTCTCCAGGGGATCTTCCCAACCCAGGGATCGAGCCCACGTCTCCTGCAGTAGCAGGCAGATTCTTTACCACCAGGGAGCACCCCCCCCCCCCGCCCCAACATACACATGATTATCTCCATGTTTTTGTGTGACGATGTCTGATTTGCCAATAGAGAAGGAACATCATGATGTTTGCTTTTTCACACGCTGGTTTTTTAAAAGCTTTTACAGCCAGCATTCTAATCTGGGGAGAGTCAGGAACCTGGCAGCATTAATGATGCCTTAGGCAGGATATATGAGCAGCAGAACCAAAGTTTACTTGAAAAGGAACACCACATTAAAATATAGCAGATTGGTGATAATGACTAGAATCTTAGCAAGTAACTCATTATGACTGAGCTGCAGAAAATAAAAATTATATTTTAGAGCTGGTTTTCCCAAGCGCTGATATCAGGCAAATTTTTCAATCATCTGAACTGTAAGGGTAATTGTGAATATGGTGGTGTGGGGTTGTCAGCTATTTTTTATTATGAAGTTATTCTTTCCACTTTAATGGTGTTGAAATAGCTTATCTGTTATGAAATGGTGGTGGTGATAAATGATGGGGCCAGAGGTGGAACAGTAGTTATGCCAATGGCAAAATTAAAGTTAGTAATCCCATGTTGTCCCTGAAGTGTCAGTGTTTAGTCTGAACAACTTCAGAACAGATAGCCTTTCTTTTCCAATACACCATTGGTTATGGAGTCTATAAGGGGGTGTTCTGTTTTCAGCAGAAAGACAGTCCAAAACAGCAGCGCCTAAACCCCGGATAGATGGTTTCTCTGCTTTCTGTAAATCCCAAAATGGTGTAGTATGTGTCAGGAAGTTGAGATGATTAAAGCTCATCAAAGTAAACATGGCTTGCCACCATAGCTAGACATTGAGCAAGGTGTTGCTTATTATGGGGATAAACTCTGTTTCTGATGTTGTCATTGAAAGTCACCACCATTCTCTTTCTAGGATGCTTCCTTTTCCACATGAAAATGAGATCAGGTTTAAAGTGTGGCTGCAGGATGGAAGGGAGACTTTAGGAAAAAAATTTTAAGAGGTAATACAATTTGCAGGATTTGAAAATAAGTATAGAAGAAATGAGCATTTGACCCCACCCCTGTCCCCCATCTGCTCATTTTTACCCCCATATTCCCACCCAGAGGTCACCACTCCTACAGGTTATTTGTTCTTATTAAATTAAAAGTTTTATGGATATATTTATGTTTATCTCATTTTTTAAAATAAAAAAAGTAGTAGTAATCTACTCCACACTGTTCTGCACCTTGCTTTTTCCAAATGCTGGTGTGATTTTGGAGGTGACAGGCAAATGCCAAATTGGTCATTAAAGATGAGATGGTGGGGGAGGGGTTGCACTGAGAATGGTGCAGCCAGTCTGAGGTTCATTTTTGAGAAATTATACCAGCATGGCACAGAGAAGTCAGGGGGTCCTTGGTGGCTAATAGCACCTTAGAGGCCAGAGCCCAGGGGCTAGCGGTATACCAGTGTTCCTGGAAATAAAGAATCTAAAAAGTCAGCACTTAGAGTTTTGGTCCAGCTACCTAAAATTCCATTTGACTCTAGCTGAGAAGCATTAAAGGGGATAATGTGAGAAAGCATTTGTAAACGGCAAAGTGCTAGAAATGACGTAAGGTAGGTGCCCTAGCAGCTGGCACCACCCTTTCCAGAAGTGTGCTCCTCAAAACCTTCCTTTCTCAGCGTGCCTGGGGGTGGGGCTGGGGGGTGTTGGCAGGGTCTGGTTGCTAGAAAATAGCACATGCCCCTCTGAGAGGTGGGCAGACCACAGTGTATGCCAGACAGCCTTTTAAATGCTATGAAAAGATGGTAAAGAAACCCCTTTGACTTACAGGACAAACTGATTTTATTAAAAATCAAATCCACTGAATTTAAACTTTACAAAAATGAAGTAAACCTTGTCTGCTGATGAGGAACATGCTTTGGAAAGAGCTGGTCCCTGTTCTGTCTCCCTCTTCCCTACTACCTTCCTGAAACTTCTTTCCAAGTGCATTAGTGAGGGGCCTCCCAATGGCCACATCCCAGGTCCTCTGTGTCTTCAGCCTATTTGACACCGTTAACATATCGTGATTAAAACTGCTGCCTTGGAACTTAGGCTTGTCATTGTTTTCGTGTCTGTTTTGGTTTTTATCTGACTTTCTCAGTCCTTTTTTATTCTTGGGCTGTAAATATGGTACAGATCACTGTCAACTCCTGATTTCTGGACCCGTGTTCCACGTGACTCACAGGCCTCGCCTGGGTCTCCCCTGTGCACCTAAAGTTGACACACGACAAAGTACGCCTAGTATTTTCCTTCCCCAGATACCTAAGCTGTACTATGACCTTCATGCTGTCCCTCAGCCAGTGACATAACTCCTCCCCTCAACTGCCAGCCCACGCAGGGGGTGAGTCCTGTAATTCTGTCTCACAGCCCTGGTTCCTTGTCTCATTTTCATTTGACACTTTCCATAGAACCCCTTACACAGTCACCAGGCTTTTCTCTCCAAAACACAGCACCAGTTGTCACTTTTCTGCTTAAAATCCTTCAAAAGGCTCTCCACTTACAGAATAAGACAGAAGTACCTGGCATCTTAGCTACACTGAGCAATGCATTGTTCCCTAACATATCTTTCCCTTCCCTAGATCTGTGTTTTGCTTATACACATCTCTCCCTTTAGTTTTTTTTTCCCCCTCCTTGTAGAATTGTGCTGATGCCTCAAAGCCTAATTCAAAAAGTGTCTTCATTCCCCAAGCCTACCCCATCTCCTAATCAGAATTGTTCCTTCCTCTGTGATTACTCCTATGGACTTTTAACCCATCATGTTGGTGGTGGTGCAGTGGCTCTTTCCTCTGAAAGGCTATGAGCTCTATGAGGACAGGAACGATCTTAATTAATTGTGTATTCCTAGCACCCCACACAAGTGCCTGGAATGTAGCTACAATCAATAAGTGTTTGTAAATTGAATTGAATCAGAGGGAGATTACAACATTGTAATATAAATCACTTCGTAGCCTGTGATTGATCACTACTGCAAATACTAAAAATGGAAGAACATGCACCTTTACTATTCAGTAGAATAGGTTTATGGTTCAATCAGTAGGGTGGTGTAACATGGGATGATGTGTGTTTATGCATTTGTCCAGATATTTGTAAGTTTAACACTGACTGTGATATATATGGCTTTTCAAGAAAACCACATAAAACATGTGCATGAGGTTTGAAACTGGCTCTTGCCCAGGGCTATCTTTATGCCTTGCCAAGGTGGACCATGACATGATCAGCCTGGTTATTTTAGCCATCCTTACAATATCAGTCAAGCAGCAAATGGGGTCTTTTGTTGACATGTGAAGTCACTGGTTCACAGTCCATTTTGTTTCATTAGCGTAGACACCACCTAGCATGCAAAGTTATCTGGGAAGTGAGGCATCAGAGCCAAGTTAAAAATTGACTAGAGTTAAATTTGAACTGTCAGGAAGCAGGCTAATTACCTGGAGGTCATTTTGTTAAAGGCAGTGTCTTTTTGTGCTCATCTTAAGACCTAACCTCCCCTTTCCTCTAGAAATATTCTTAAAAGGGAGACTGGTACAGATCTGAGGTCCCTAACTTTGTGTTAAGAGTAATCTGCTTCAAATATACATAAGAATTCAGGGACCATTTTGTTTTGCAACTCTCTAGACTGACAATTTGGTACTGCTGTTCCTCTGTCCTGCAGGCATTTACCTTAAGAGCATCCTGCTTTGATTCTTAAGAGAATGGTATTGTTTTATATACATTGGTCATCTGAACAGAGTGATTCCCTCAGTAATATTAGAGAGTACCCTCAGTGAAGTTACCTTAAATCAGAATAAAATGTAAGGCTTTATCTGCACCCTTGAACAGCAAGCCTAGAACCCCCTTCTTTTTCTGTAACAGCCCATCCTGTCCAATTTGTGATGCCAATCACTGAGTCAGAGTGGATGGCCAAAGGATTGTAAAGAGGGAGACTCTAGGAGCATGACTTAAGACTTAGAGTGTTCTGTTACCTCCTTAAGGCAGGAACTCCCCTGGAGCAGGAGATTTTTAATCTTCTCCATAAGAACAAGCAGCCTGTGACAGACCCTTTACTGACTCCCGTGGAAAAGGCCTCTCTCAAAGCTATGAGCCTGGAAGAGGTAAGTGTGCTGAGCCCTTTGATCCACCCAGGCATGCTTTGTTTCTCCCGGCATTTGCTATCAATCCTAGGGGTCACTGTAAATGTCATTCGTTGTAGGTAAAGATGCGCCGAGCAGAGCTTCAAAGGGCCCGGGCCCTGCAGTCCTACTATGAGGCCAGGGCTCGAAGAGAGAAGAGAATCAAAAGCAAAAAGTAAGGAAGCCCCTGTGAACCAGCCTTGGGTTCCATGGGAAAGTGGCATGGCTAACCACAAGTCTTTAGGAGAGAACCTTTCCCATGGCAGCTGTGGGGTCCTGTAGGAAAAGTCCCAAAGAGGGGTGACTGGCCTCTTTTTTTCCTCAAACCAACCTCAGGGAGTTTTCCCACTTCAGCGGTGACTGCTCCTCTGGCTTTGGCTTTCCATCTTGGATTTGCTAAAAACAGGACTGTTCAGTTACTTTCACTGCCTTCCAGGGCATCACGGAGTAGTTCTGCTGAATGAGCTCTGACTTAACAGCTGTGAAGCCAACAGGGCTTCCTTCCTGCTTTTTTTGCCTTTTGGGATCATGTTCTGCTCTTCCCTTGTGTTTGTGCTCTAGAAGCAGAGGGGACTCATTTGTGGAGGTCTGCCCATGGGGGCTGCAGGGACTGAGGGTCCCACCAAGCCTCGCAGGCCTCCAGCCGGCTCCCTGAAGTCAGCTAGCTCTGTGACGTCCAGTCCATCCCTGGCACTAGAAGACCAGGTGGGGGCGCTTACATGTGTGGCACCAGTGGTTCAGCTATATCTCTTCCTTCATGCCTCTCTCACCCTATAGGTATCACAGAATTCTGAAGAAAGGAAAGGCCAAGCAAGCCTTAAAAGATTTTGAGAAGCTGCAGAAGGTCAATCCTGCTGCAGCACTGGAAGAACTAAAAAAACTTGACAAAGCCAGAATGATGGTGAGGCTGCCTCTGGCCCCCAAGCCTTGAACCTGCTTTCCCTAGAAAGCAATAAGAAGCTCACTGTGCCCTTTCTTTCCAGGAGCGAATGAGCCTTAAGCACCAGAACAGTGGGAAATGGGCAAAATCAAAGGCAATTATGGCCAAATATGACCTGGAGGTAAGACACCATCAGGGTGAAAGGAGATATGGAATTGGAGGAAAGAAAAGGAAAGCAGTCCATAAGGATGCTAGCAGAAGCAGAGTTGCGAAAAAAAAACCATGTGGATGAATGGAAAACCAGGAATCTAAAAAGGCATCAGAAAATTTCTAAGGCAGAGAGGAAAATGACCAGAAACAAGGTGGAAAAGGAGAGATGAAAGGGAAACAGCACCAAAGGCAAGTCCAGTTAAAGAAGAGAGGAGTTGTGTGTTTAAAAAAAAAAAACAAAACATGTTTCACATGTTGATTCCTTGAGAACAAAGAATTTGTCTTCCATTTTGTTCCATACCTGTTAACACAATGGTGTATAAGCAGTTTAAATGGTAGGTACCAGGAAGATTGAGAGGAGGCAGCTCTGAGGAGTGGACTGGGAGAGGTATGACTGTGGTCACTAATGACAGGCGCTCGTGCTATGCCTTTCCCCCAGGCTCGCCAGGCTATGCAGGAACAGCTGGCCAGGAACAAAGAGCTGACGCAGAAGGTCCGGGCGGCCTCTGAGAGTGAGGAAGAGGAGGAAGGCCAGGAGGAAGAGGAAGAACCTCTTGTCCCTGACATGGTGAATGGGGTGCAGATAAAGGCAAATGGACTGAACCCCTGGATGTTGCGGAATCACTTCAGTGATGCCAAAGAGGCTGAGGTCCAGAAAGACCTGGAAGATCCTGCTGAGCCTGAAGCCCAGGAGACTTCTGAAAGTGAGGAAGAAAGAGCAGTGGTGGAAGAAGAAACTCTCTTGAAAGAATTTGAGGAACGGCGATCACTTAGACAGAAGTCTGAGCTCAACCACATGGCAGAGCCAGTGCACAGGCGTGTAAGAAAGGGTGAGCAGGGTACACCACAGTGGGGTGCTGCCTGATGCTGGTGCTCTTGGCCAAAGAGGAAAACTCTGCCCGCCCACCCGCTGCAGAGATTAGGCTCTAGGGCATTTCAAGAGAGTGCCATGGGTCCCTGAAGAGAAAATACATTCATTATGACCGTTTTTCTTCAAAGGCATTTCATAAGCGGGCAGCCGCATGGCTCTAGAGTATGTGTTCAGTCTTCAGAAAGACAGAAGTACCCCATCCTTGAAGGAGGGGCGGGGGTTAACATCACTGGGACCCGCAAGCCAGAGAGCGGTGCATGTGGTGGGCTGGCAAATCTGAAAATCGTTCACACCCGCAGACGCAAAGGTGTATTTTGAGATATTATGAAATGTCTTCAGATCATCACTGCAGTTGTCTGCTTTGTTTGGGGAGGAGGAGTGGCATTTTTAGCACTCTGTTAATGCTGGTTGATATGTTGATGTGGGGTGCGACTTTCTTGATAGGAATGAATGACTGACTACAAGGTACAGGGTAAATTAGAATTGTTACCCCATGCTCAGACTCGATTTGCATATTATATATATTAGCAACCTTGGCACCTTTGAGGCAGGTTGGAGTTCCCTTTCTGGGGACAAAGCAGGGCGTTATAAAGCCTGCTCAGGAAACTAACTGCACTCAGTAATCACCTGGTCTGGTCAGATTCTCTGGTCCAATTATATTTCCTGTAAGAATAATGAATGCATTTACATGACACCAAGATTCTGTTTTTCCATGGCTTAAAAAAAATTTTTTTAAGCTGTTGTTTAGCATGTATTAGGGGACCTTTACTTGAGGTTTTCAGCTAAAGAGTTCCAGGGTTAGTAATTATAAGCAGTCACTTCCAAGAGAATTGTAGAAAGCACTAGCCACAGGCCAGGATGGTTCCTCCCAGACCCCTCAAAAACTGCCTGTCTAGTGAAATATATCAAACAGTTGGTTGTGGAATGAAAGGTAGATAAGAGACGTGGGTTCGATCCTTGGGTCAGGGAGATCTCCTGGAGGAGGACATGGCCACCCACTCCAGTATTCTTGCCTAGAGAATCCCACAGACAGAGGAGCCTGGCAGGCTACAGGCCATGGGGTTGCAAAGAGTCTGATACGACTGAAGCAACTTAGCACATACAGATGATAAATATGAAAGATCCTCAAACCTTTGGGGAAATAGTATCCTAAAATAGTGGGAAGGCATGGACCCCAAACAAAATGAGCAAGGAAAGTTGATCCTTGACAATAAACACACATATCCTCAGGCCAGATCTAAGTAGCTTGTGCCATTGACTTCAAGCCAGAGCTAGAGAAAAGGATGAACTTGGGAATAGGAGCAACTTGAGTCAACGCAGGGTACAGTCTAGAAGCAAGTAGAAAATTACAGTGTAAATTACAAATAGGACATCACAGTTTTTAGAAATTAAAAAAAGAAATTACAAATAATATTGTGTTGGCCAAATAGTTCCTTTGGGTTTTTCCCATAAGCTGCAAAAGAAAAATCAGCGTTTTGGCCAATTCAATGAATGACAACAAAGTTGCTTTTAGAAGCCAGTTGCTAAAACAGCTTTTTTTAAAAAATGTGGAATTTGGAGCGATCCTTCCAAGTAGAACCTGCTCTCTGGGCAAATTAAGCCATGGCTGTACTTATACAGAGTCACTGGCAAAGCTGGGAACAGGACCCAGAACACCTGCTTCCTAGAGTGCTGCTTTTAACTCCTACACTCCATTGCCTGTGACCTGACAGGTAGTGTAATCACCAGGAGATCCAATGAATGGCATCTTCTCTTACCCATTTGTCGTCATTAGCCTGTCTCCCCTGGTGCCCCATGCCCAGCAAGAGGTCAATAAATGCTGGTGAGACACCACCCACCCTACTTTTCTGACACCTTTCATTGCTTCCCCCAGATCCGAGCAGCCAGGAGGTACTGTCCGAATTGAGGGCACTGTCTCAGAAGCTCATCACGGAGAACCATCAGTCAGGGAAGCAAGAACTGAGTTCAGCGAGGACAGCTCAGAGAGAGGAACCTGCCAGGGAGGAAGAGGAGCCCATGTTGCTACAGAGGCCAGAGAGAGCTCAGACTCTGGATGAGCTGGAGGGGCTGGGCAGAGAAGGGTGTGTTGCAAACAAGGAGCTTCCCAGAACTGCAGTGGAAGGGCTGCAGTTGGAGAAGAATCTAAGTAATCATATTGGCGCCCCCAAGGAGAAGAAAAGGAAGGAACAAATGATTGATCTCCAGAACCTCCTAACCACAAAATCGCCTTCCGTGAAGTCCTTGGCAGTTCCTACGACTGTACAGGAGTTGGTGAGCAGAGCCAGGGTCGTGGGAGGGTGGGGGGCGGGAATCAGAGCTGGCGTGGAAAGTGTCCTTCTGCAATAGGACAGCAATACAATCAGAAGTTTTGTGCTGGGGGCACATGGCGGTAGTTGAGAGGTCCAGAATAGTACTGCCCAGGCTGGTCCCAGCGACAGCTTAATAGATGCAAATACTTAAGTGCCGCTGAGACTCCCTCATCTTAAATTCTGAGCCACCACATCCTCCCTGGGGTGACTCTAAAGCCCTCAGAGGACAGAGGGACTCATTCAAAGCTCTGGCCAGATGCCAAGCAGGACAACTCAAAGGTGAGTGAGTCATTGAGCTGTTGACGGTGTTTTGCTCTACTCAATGGGATCTCAAATGGTCTGGGGTTCCCTGATTAAGTCATTGAAACTGCTCAAGTGAGGAACCCCAGTCTTTTCAGGGATATAAACTGAAGGACTCCCACATTCTGGCCAGGCCCACTTGGAGCTCCCCCTCCTGATGCTGACTGGTTCCTTCCTCCACCCTACAGCTTCCTTCTTGAAAGTTTTAAATTGTGTCCTATGATAATGAGCTAGGGATGTTTACCCTAGAGAGAATATCAGAGCTTGGTTGGCTGCCGATGTGTTTGTAGTGCAAGACCATCGTTGTTCCGCACTTCCCCCTAGAGGGCGCTAAAATGTCACAACCCAACCATCTTGCCACAAACCTCGGCTCAGGAGGCAAGACCTAACTGTTGTTTCTTCCCAGGAAGATGAAGGAGAGAGAGATCAAAGGCAGATGATAAAGGAAGCTTTTGCTGGGGATGATGTCATCAGAGACTTCTTGAAAGAGAAGAGGGAAGCTGTGGAGGCGAGTAAGCCAAAGGACCTGGACCTGACTCTGCCTGGCTGGGGCGAGTGGGGTGGTATGGGCCTGAAGCCCAGTGCCAAGAAGAGACGCCGGTAAGAACAGGAAAGAAAGCCCATCAGAAGGGCACCAGGTTCTCCCACTTCACCCTCAGGTGTCCTCTCTGCCCTTTTGACTAAGTCCTTAATGCTCTTAGTCAGACACCCTGCTGTTCTGCTTTCCAGGTTTCTCATTAAAGCCCCTGAGAGTCCTCCAAGGAAAGACAAGAATTTGCCAAATGTGATTATCAATGAGAAGCGGAACATCCATGCAGCAGCTCATCAGGTGAGGGATAGAGAGCCATTTAGCAGCCTCCTCTTCCGCTGCCTGGCTCTGCTCCTTGGGAGGAGTGTTCTACTGCTCTGTGGTCAAGAGGGGTGTGTGATCTTGACCACAGATCAGATCTATTCTTGTTTTCACTGACTCTGAGATGAATAATTCCCCAGATTGACTCTGCTGTTTTAATTACTGGGTGGGTGGGTTAAAATTGAATCTTTGCAGCATTGGTGAGGCCCCCAAATTTGCATTTTCAGCCAGTACCCCAGAAAATGCTGATGCAAATGGGTCTCACAAAACTAAGAGTTGCTATTCTTCAGGCTTGTGCTTATAGTCCAGGTAATGTTTGGAGGCTATAGGTTTAACCTACATCCTAAGAAAAATGAAGACCAACTTGTTCAGGACAGTGAAAGGATGTAAAACTGTATCATATGATAATGAGCTAGGGATGTTTACCCAAGAGAAGAGCAAACGAGCACAATCATGGCCTTCAACTCTATTGAAGGCTTTCGTGTGGAGTGCAGCCACATAACATAGAAGTTAGAGGAAAAGTAGGATTTCCATTCAAGGAAAAACTTTCTGCTGGTCCAAAGAGAGAAAGGGTTGCTCTGGGGGTGTGAGCATACATAGAGGAGACTTGGGAATGAGATGGGACTCAGTGACCTTTATGTTCCCTTCAGTTCTGAAAATCTATGACCCTGTGATAATCTATGACTATCTACCCTAGTCAGTTTAATATTGAAATAAGTTGTATTTTTCATTCTAAAGAGGGGGGAGCTATTTAATAGGTACAGAAGAGAGGGGAAAATATGATTTCAATAATACTGTCAACCCCACTAAGACCCTCCCTTAACCTAAAGAATCTGTGCCCTTCACTACCACCAGGACCACCTGGCAGTACTCAAGCTTCTCTTTGAGTGTTCCATTGAGTATCTCCAGAGACTACTGATTGTAACTTCCCCGTTTTTCTGCTTATGTCTTTTTCCTCCTCTTTGGCCTTCAGGGAAGCATTTAAAGATTATTTAAGTCTGAAACCAGCACTTTGGTGGAGTGCAAAAGAGTCCTGGGCAAAGAAATGAGACTTGGGAAGAGCATGGAGCTGAGTGTAGTAGCCTGATGGAGTTCAGGATTTGGGAGTAGATCTTTGGGTTCCTTAAAACATCAATGCTATGAATCAAGGGGAGAAAAAGGAGGGGGATGAAGAGGCAGGAGAAGCGCAGATACACCAGTACTTAGATGTCTGGCAGTCACAGTGCTATATAGCAAGACCCGCTGGGGGCCAGCAACCCTGCAGCTAATTAGTGTTCCTCTTGCCACAGGGACCTTGTTGGGATGGTTTTTCATCCCTCCATTGTTGGGCAAGCCTGGGGGAAGGGAGTTTCTGATCCCAATTAGGCCCCTCCCAAATGTCATCAAGCAGCTTGGCACTCCTAAAGTTGGATGGGTGCAAGGGCATACCTAGCTCCACTCACCACAGCCATCATGTAGGACTGAGGGCTAAAACTACCTGGCCAAGTGCCATTAGAGTTTACAGCCTTGGCTCAGGCCAAGTCACTCTGCCTTCCTTTGCAGGTGCAGGTGCTTCCGCATCCATTCACACACCATCAACAATTTGAAAGGACCATCCAGACCCCCATAGGATCTACATGGAACACCCAGAGGGCCTTCCAAAAGCTGACCATGCCCAAGGTTGTCACCAAGCCAGGCCATATCATTAAGCCTATCAAAGCAGAGGATGTGGGCTACCGATCTTCCTCAAGGTCGGACCTCTCTGTCGTACAGAGGAACCCAAAACGACTCTCCATACGTCACAAAAAACATCTGGAGAATAACTGTGTGGATTGAATTGCTGGAGTAGTGACACCTTGGTGCCCAGAACCAATAGCCCCGACTGTTCCTCCACTGGCCTGGTTTTACGTGGAGCTGCAGGATGATTCCAAAACAAGCTTAGCACACCGTGGGTGTAGTTAAGCCATGTTTTAGAAATAAAGGCATTTTTATCTATTTAACTGGAATGTTTACTTTTGTTGTTATTTTCTTACCAAGGACTAAGTTGTCCTAAATGGGGCTGGAGGGAAGCTACCCTAGCCTGTGACCTTAAGTCCGTATCAGATATAACCGTAAATAATCAGTTTAAAGAGTCAGAGATAGTAACTAAATATTGTATATTCTCAACCTCTGAACCTAGCAGCAGTATGCACAAATCAGGCAATTGGATTCTGCTCTGGGCTAGTCCGGAGCTTCCCAGGTGGCGCTAGTGGTAAAGAACCCACCTGCCAATGCAAGAGATATAAGAGACACAAGAGACACAGGTTCGATCCCTGGGTCGGGAAGATTCCCTGGAGGAAGGCATCGCAACCACTCCAGTATGGAGAATTTATGTGTGAGCTTCCCAGCTCACAGGTTGCAGACCAGAGTAGTTAGCACTTTTAGTCTTACTTTACAGATGAGGTAAATGAGCTTTCAGAAATAAAGCTCTATTCCCTTCCTAATGAAGGGCCAACTCCTCACCATTGTTTATGATTTATTCAGGCGTTACTTTGCTATATGGCAGTTCATGGTCAGCTTCTCAGCTCTGAGGAACCTGCCTTTCTTTGGATGATAATATGTATCAAAAGGGCCCTGCAGCCAGAGATTCCTAACAAGAAATTGGAGAAACCCCCTCTGATACAGAAAGGACATAGCCACTAGCGCACTTCACCTCCTGTCTTGGAGATAGGGCCCCACAGCCTTTTTAGACCTTTTCAATTTTTATGTCACAACCTTATGAGAATTCTAAATTATGAACCCTCACCAGAAAAACACAAACACCTACACCATTTCATATACAGCTTCAGGAGCTTTGCAGACATTTGAAATCTTGGGTTAAAAGTTCTGCTCCTCCACGAATTTTCTTTTGCAATTCTCCCCACCAGTATGGCTCTGTTTTTCTGAGCCCATCACTCCCCAAGTCAGTTTCCACCTCAATGGTAACTAGTCACAATGCCTTTATTTTATAGATTTAAGATTTCAGTTAGTGACCGAGTAAGCACTGGGACCCTAGACTTAACTCTGAAGCCAAAAGTCACGCCACACATGTCTCAAATTCCCAGTGGCAGCTGTGGACCCCGGCTAACACTGCTCATCCTCTCAAGAACCTGCCCAAGGCTTCCCCAGTGGCTCAGTGGTAAAGAATCTGCTTGCAGTGCCGAAGAACCTGCCCGGTGCTAGGAAGGGAACTGAGTATGCTGATCGTGTTCAGAGCTCAAGGGGTATTTTTAAATTATCCACTGGTTTGAAATTATCTGCGATCCACTTGCTGGCTGACACTGCCCATGAGGAGGAATGGGGGACCCCTGCCAATTCCTGCCTCTCTTTAAGAGACCTTAACCTTCTCTTGCACTCTTTTGAGCACAAAGCTGCCACTTCTGTCCCACCCCACCCCCCAAAATCGAAGCACCCAATCAAGTGCCCCCAGTAAACGGCCAATCCCTTTCTACTTTCTCGGGACCCTCCTCAGCGCCGTGTGCTCCCCGCGGCCCACGAGTGATGCAAACGACCCTATCCTTCCAAGGGGAGGGCAGGCGCTGGAACATGCTATAAACGACGCCCACTCCCTGCCTTCCAAGCCCCCAAACGGATTCGATTGTTGTTTCGTGGGGCTTTTTTTTTTTTTTCTTTTCTTCCTCCGAACCTCCGAAGTGTTCTCCCTTCCCATTGGCCAGAGCTGCCCCTTGACGCCACCCTGGCCTTGCTCGCTGATTGGTCCATTCTGGATGTGCCCAAGCCTTTTTCCCAGGGTGTGGCCCCCCCGCCCCCAACAGGGTTCTGACCCCTGGCTCCTCCCTTCCCTCCCAGCCCCCCTCTCTGTTCCGAATGGTACCGCCCTGGCTCGGCTCCCCCAAGGCCCAGGCCCCTGCCCTTAGGGCCCCCGGACGGGGCGGGGCACGCTGGGGACGGGCAGAGGGCGGTGGTGGCGCCTTCCTGCCGAGCCCGAGACCGCCCCCGCCACCCTTCTGCAGCCCTCGTAGGTCCCACTTTCCCCTGGGCAGTTTTCGTCCAGCCTCGGTAGTCCCGTCCCGTCTGTGCGGCCCCCACCGTGGTCTTCAGGTCATCCCGATCGGCAGCGTTAAATCGCTGCCCTCAGCGCCCCACACACGCCCATCCGCCTACACCCTCGGTTCTCTCCCCGCGTCTGCTCACCCTTCCCCTCCCAAGCCCGCCGAAGCCCCGGCCCGCCTTCCGCGCAGACTGTCCATCCCCAGGATCCCCCTCCCTGTGTGTGGCCCTTCCTCCCAGCGGCCTCCCCTTCGCGGCTTCCCCTCCCCTTCGTGGCCAGCGTGGTGGAGCACTCCCGGCCCACCCCCCCTTTCTCCGTACCCCGCGCTCCCTTCTTATGTTGTCCCTTCACGTCCCTCGCTAAGTCCCTCCCAGCCCAGCCCCCCCCACCACCCGTACACACGTACCCCTCCCTCCGAGGCGTCCCCCGGCGCCCCTCCCCTACCCCCGCTTGTCTACGCCCCTCCCACCCACCCCGTCCTTTTGTCTCCTCTTTGGTCTCTAAGTCCCCCGCCCCTCCCTCACTCCCGCCCTCGCTCCCCGCGAGCACGCTCTTATCTTCCCCGGGTCCCGGCGTCCCGCCCCCTGGCCGCGCCCCGCCGGCCCCCTCCCTCCCGCGGCCCCATCTCCGCCCTCGGCGCTCCGCCCTCCCCCCCGCGGCTCCGGGCCCGCCAGCCCGGCCGACCTCCCGGGTTCCCGGCTCGCTCCTCCCGCCGCCGCCACCGCCACGGTTGCCGCGGCTCCCCGACCCACCCTTCCCGGGCCGGCGGCTCGCGCTCCAGCGCAGTTCCCCCCCCCCCCCCGCCCCCCCGCACACACACACACACACACTCCCTCCGCCCCACCTCGTCCGGGCGGCTCTGCGGTGGCCCGGCCCCGAGAGGCGCGCAGGCTGCCCTCGGGGGAGCCTCGGCGTCCCGCGGCCACGGGCACCTCGCGGGCGGGCGCACCGCTCGGGAGCGCGAACCCAAGCCAGGTCGCTCCCTCACCCACCCAGCCCGGCCCCCGGCGGCCGCCCGGGACGCAGGCGCCCGTCGGAAGTGTTTGAGGGACCCGGTGGGCCGCGGCGTCTCCAGCAACCGGGGCCTGGCCAGTGCGCCGCAGGGACACGCTGCGACCTGACCGCCCGGGATGACTTTACTCGGAGCTTCCTCCCTGCTCCCGCCCCAAACCTGTGTGCCTTCAACGCGCACAGCGGGGACTTGGCGGCGAGCGGGATGAAGTGGGAGGGGGACTGTCCCGAAAATACCCTAAGGGACCTTAGCAGGGGACCGTGAGGCTCACAGAGGCAAGGGCCAGTGACACGCCCTGGCCATCCGAGGAGAAAAGGCGAGCGATGTTGCCTCTAGCCTTTTGTATCCACCCCACTCGCGTGGAACACTGGAATTAAACCTCAGTCGGGATGGGAGACGCGGCTCAAGAGAACAGAAAACCCAACCACAGGCCAATGGGCACTTTAAAAAAATTCTATCCTGGGATGCTCACGTTGAAGGCGTTTCTTCGCCTGAACCTCTCCCCACACCCCACTCCCCACTCTGTCTTACCTATTTACCCACCAGACTGGAAGCTCTTTGAAGGGGGCCCTGTTTATCTCTGTGGCTCCCTCAATGGATCCCTTGTGATCGGCGGACAAGTGGATGTATTTGTTAACTGCCCACATTTGGGATCTGTCATTATCGTGTGACTTAAGGTTGTAAACTCGGGAGGGACAGGACCGGGTACGGATTACTAGCTCGTGCCAGGCACAGCATGATGCCCAGAGAGATGAGCCATCAACGTTTTTTGAGACTGGTGTAGTCAATTATGCAGGAGGCAGATGCCTACCTCCTCCTGGTCCTGAGAACTCCCAGGTCCAGAGCTGGATGGCCTGAGTAAGGAAGAAAATAAGGAGCGGCCTTAGTTCATTCCCAGTCCCAGGCTGACTTCCTAGGACCAGACACCTCTACACTTGTTATCAGAACACACTGGATGATGTGCCTTTCCAAGACTGAGAATGGGTTTGCAGAGAACCATAAAATTCCCAGTTTAACTCCCATCCGTTTGCAGATGGAGCTGGGAGGAGGGAGGGAGCCAGTTTTTTTTCTCAGTGTGAAGCTAACTGTCCCATATAAGGATCAAACCTATAGCTCTTCATCCATTTACCCCAAGGTCAAACAGAACCCCACTGTGTCAGAGGAAGGAAGCTACAAACAAACCGGACCCAGTCAACAGCAGTCAACCCCAGGGGAGGAGGGACAGTGGAAGCACTCCTTCCTCTCATTTAGGGATGCAAGATTCACCCTGTACTTGGCAGCGGCTTATTTGTAATATGGTCACTTTAGAGTTAGTCCAGTTGCCTGCCCACCTCACACCCCCGACCACAGTCCGACAGGTCCTCTCTGTCCTTCCTCAGCCCCACACTGTCTTTACCCAAGCCAGCTTGCTCTAAATGGACACGGTCAGTGATCCAAGCAGAAACTCAAACAGTAACAATTGGACAGTGTCAAGAGAGTCAGACAGAGATGCCTCGGAGCGCCCGGCCTCCTCCTCTGCCTTGGCATAAATGTTCTTATTGTCCTGGAAAGAAATACGAAATTCCCTCCCCAGCTGTGGAGGGGGGCTGCTCCAGGGCTTAGCCCCCAAGGACAGAGTTTCTAGCCCAACCCAGTCTCTCTGCCCCCTAATTCTTGATAATGGAACAGTCACCATCTGTCTTCCCCATCCTAGTCAAGACTGGCCCCCTGGACCATTTGTCTGCCTCACCAAGGAGATGAAGGAAAGTGGGGCTGGAGCTATACATGAGGAGATTACTACACTGTTCCAAAGTTCTCTTTAGGGACCGTTAGCACACCAAAATACATATTTGGAAAATACCCACAATTAACACTGAAAGAAAAACAGTAAACACAGTGTCACTTTGCCAGGCTCAAGAGTTTTGTTTTGTTTAAATGCTAATGGCCTCAAATGGGGAGCAGCATCCATCAGTTAAATAAACAAGCCATTAGACCGAGACTACAAGTGTCAACACATGACTAATCTACTAATTGGGAGAAGGCATCACCAGTCAGAAGCAAAGCATGCTGGGGATTGTGGAGCGGGCTGCTAAAGCACACAGTAGGTGGTTTTGGAGCCCCTGAGACCTGAGTTTGAATCCTGCCTCTCCCAGTTGTTAACCGTGTGGCCTTCAGTGAGTCAAGTTGCCAAACCTCTCTGAACTTCTGTGTTCCATTCTGTAAAATGGGGACCAGTACAGTATCTGTATCACAGGACTGTTGTGGGGATGAACTGAGATAATACAAGTCAAGTTCTAAGCCTGCCACACCATTAAGTGCTCAATGCCTGTTAGCTATTATTGTTAACAATAAAGTACCTAGCACATGGTATATACTCCAAAAGTGGTAGCAGTGAAGATGAAAAAGAAATGACTTAAGGTTGCTAGATAATAGCCATGAAAGGTGAGATTGGACCCTTGGTGTCCCCAGAACCTCCCAGATACAGCTGGCAAAGGCATGCTGTTGGTTAATTAATTGTAACTTCTTAAGGATGTCTCTTTAACTTGGGCTTAGCGTCAGTCCTTAATGATCACTGCCCTGTTCCATAGTTGCTGGATTCTAGGGCCTTCTGTCCTGGCACCTGGCTAAGAGATGAGTTATGCTGGCCTTTCCAGGTGGAGACCAGCCTGGTAGTGTCCTGGGCATCCTTCCCCAGCCAACCAGACCCATCCCGTAGAGAGTATTCTAGGCTGTTCTCGGTTCCCTTCTTCCTGTTGTGTGTCAAGACAGGTGGGGACCACAGGACTGACAGGGGCCAGGGTGAGGAGGAAAGGGGTGGGGGGGGCCACAGGATCCTCAGGAGAAATCACTGTGACCCAGTCAGAGTTGGCGGCCTTTGCTTCTTGCCCCAGCCTCTCCTTTTGAAGCCTGCTGTCTTCCCTGTCACCTGCCAAGAAGTCTGTCCTCAGCCAAATAGAGTCTTCCTCTTCACCTGCCTGCTCCACTGATATCCCATCTCCCTTTGTCCCTTCCTGTTCCAGGAGAGTCTTGCTCTCAATTTGAAAGGTTGGGAAGGGGGACCGGGATGGGGAATACATGTAAAAAAAAAAAATACACTATGGTTGTGATAAAAAATAAATAAATAAATAAATAAATAAATAAATAAATAAATAAAATTTTCACTTGAAAATGGAAAAAAAAAAAAAAAGAAAGGTTGGGAAGTACCAAGTACCGCTTTAGAACAGGCTCTCTCTCTGCACAGGTAAGGAGTTAAGCTAGTAGTGGTTTAACATGCCACTCCCTCCCCAGGTCTTGGAGTTTCTGTAGGAACCTCTTTAATTTGGAAAACAAAGCTTCAAGGTGCCTAGAAAAGAATGCAGACAGATGGCAGGGGATTTCTGGGCCTGCAACAGGCTGAGGTGGCCTGGGCAGGAGACATCTTTTACCCTTCATTGTCCGTGATGCTCTGTTTAGCCTTCTTGTAAATTCTACCTTGAACTCTGGGCCCCGAGCAGACCCACCCGACTCCACCAGGCCCTATCCTCTCCAGTTCTACACCTGGAGTACCTCCCACACCCAAGCAACCACGTTATTCCTCAAACTCCATGCTCCTTCATCCACACCTCCCAGCCGGAGCCCTGAAATAGGACCCCTCCAGGCTGGGCAATTCACTTGCCAAAAGCAGATTAACCTGATCAATTAAGCCTTCTCCACAACTGTTTATTGAGTGCTAAGGGGTTAATGTGTTGTCCCTCTAGCCACACCCAACCAGACTGCAATTCTCCCAGCACACTAGTCAGATCTGTGCCAGAGTCCATGCTGTTGGCAACTGTTCTCTGACTCTGGACCCCGGTAACCAGTGCCCCCCTCCTGCCCTGTTCTCTGCAAATCAAATTTTCTTGTTCCAAGGACGAGCCCAACTGTCCCTCCAACCTCCATGCCCCCACCCCAGCTCCAGAAAGCTGCTCACCTCTGAAAGGTGTCTCAGGTGAAGCCTCAGTAGTCTCTCTTCGAGGGCCTCCTTGCACATTCTGCCAGGCAGGTGAACACGTGAGTTGCTGGCTTGCTGTAACTATGGGATGGATGTAACCTTCCTGTGGACAAGGACTGCTTCTGCTTCATTTTATACTTTGGGTTTCAAACTGTTCAATCCCCTAGAAAGGACTGGATTGTACAGTGAACCCCCATCACCTAGTTTCCACAGCTATCAAGATTTTGCCTGCTTCATGTTTGTATCCCCCATCCCACTCAAACAGTGCCTCGCACTGCCTTGAACAGCTCTTTCAACAAAGGAGCTGGGGCTTGGTGGGTGGGAAGTGGTGGGCATTTAGGCTTGCAGAGCAAGTTCCCCAGGGGTGATACAGGCTGGGGGAGTGGGTAACTAATACAGAAAGTTGTCCATGCTTGAGCACCTGTTATGAGCCAGGTTATGAATTGGGCTTCCCTTGGGGCTAAGCTGGTAAAGAATCCGCCGGCAATGAGGGAGACCTGGGTTTGATCCCTGGGTTGGGAAGATCCCCTGGAGAAGAGAAAGGCTACCCACTCCAGTATTCTGGCCTGGAGAATTCCATAGATTGTATAGTCTATGGGGTGGCAAAGAGTCGGACGCGACTGGGTGACTTTCACATGAGCCATGTGCTTTACGGTTGATCTCATTTCACCCTCCCCTCATGGGGCAGGTACTGTTATCTTGATTTTACAGGTGAGGCCATGAGACTCAGAGAGATGAAGAGACTTAACCAGTTCCCCCAGATGGACAGTGGCAGAGCCGAGACTCTAATCCAAGCCCTGTGCCCTGCTCGCTATGCCGTGCAGCCTGCCTCAGAGTGCCAGACAGACTGCCACCTGCTCTGCTTCAGCTTCACAGAATACAAGACATGCTTTGTGTGTGTCCCTGTAGAGTAGCACACACGTGTGCATGCACACAAGCATACACACCCACGCAGCGACCTGCACATTCACAGTAGGATTGTAAAATAATTGCACTGGTTTTTTGTCTGTGGGATCAATATCCTTACCTTATAAATTACCCCTTAGCCCTGTAAGCATGGAGGGAAGAGGGGGTACCAGGGGGCAGAGGCCTGAGCAGTGCTTCTGTTCCAAGTGTTGAGGAAATTGGGAGAGCCTCCCCCACCATATACCTGGAGCTTC